GATCCTCCTACCACCTGACTGAGGACTGGGAGGCGATTCTAAGCTGAAGCCGGGAAAGCGGCAGGCATATGTGATATCCGTGCTGGAGCTGCTGACGGCTGGGGGAACTTATGGCACGGGACCGCATACTGTCCTGGCTGCCATCTGGCAGTCCGGTTCTATTCCCCTTGACCTGTTGAGGGGGCGTAGTCATCCCTCTCTGACAGGGAAAAAAGAATCTAGGACAGGAGCAGTCTGGATTTTACCTCTGGCAAGTCCACAATAGACTATCGACTAGCGTTTCGAGTTATTGTGGACGCCGTTGTGAATTTGGCCATAGACTGCCTGCAGCCTACATCGACTCCAAAAGACGTTTGACTCGGTGAATTGCGAATCGCTACGGATTCTGAGACATGGGAATTCTAACAGGAATTATTGGTTTAATAGCAAGCCTATATACTGGGGCTGAGAGTGCTGTAAAGTGTGATGGGGGCCTGTCGAGCTTCTTTCCTGTTAACTCAGGAGTAAGGCAAGGCTGTGTTCCTGCACCAACACTTTTCAACACACATGAACTGTATAATGGGCAGAACTACTATCCAAAGTCACTGTGGAGTAACAGTGAGCAATGTTAAAGTCACAGACCTCGACTTTGCCGACGATATTGCTATCCTATCTCTCCTCTCTGGAATCTCTCTGAGAGCTGCTTTATAGACTTTGATAGTGCAGTCTATGTCTCTGGGCTGTCAATTATCTCTCTCTCTCTCTCTCTCTTCTCTCTCTCTCTCTCTCTCTCTCTCTCTCTCTCTCTCTCTCTCTCTCTCTCTCTTTATATATATATATATATATATATATATATATATATATATATATATATATATGTATATATATATATATATATATATATATATATATATATATATATATATATATATATATATATACACACACACACACACACACACACACACACACACACACACACACACACACATAATATATATTATATATATATATATATATATATATATATATATATATAATTTCATTCAACTGTTCATTTTGCTATTTGGTGTGTTCCATATAATGTTTTGAGCTGTAAAATAAGTAGTTTTATCAAGGAAAGGACATTTCCCTATGATATGTTGTCTCTCAGCCTGTCCAACCCTTCTCTCTGCGTCTTCGTAAATAAAGAGGAGTAGAAAAATATATCAGAAGAAGAAAGACAGGGAACAGCTTGTTTGACACAGTATCTGTGTTTATGTATATGATATGTAGGTGTGTTAGGATATTCTGTGATTACATGAACAAATGAATGAAATGAAATAGAATGAAAAGGCATTTAGGCCGCTAGATGTATCAGGGTATGGCTGAGTATGCCTCGCTAACGTACGCATTTTTGCAGTGTGATATCTCGAATGAACCTAAATTAATAACTATAGTCAATCAAAACTTTCTATTTAAGAGCAGCCATTCCTTTTGTGTCAATTTTTCCCTGCTATTGTTTTCCATTGGTTATTATTACTAAGGCATCAGTTTCGACGAACAATGCTTTTATGTTTTGATTGTCTATTTTGATGTATTTGTGTACATTTTATTTTTTATTCAACTATTATCATTATCATCCTTATCAACATTACAATGACCAATATTATTGTAAATTTCATTATAATTATAATTTTTTCTTTATCATTGTTATCCTAATTATCTATATTATTGTTTTTATCATTTCTATCATCATCATCCATAGTAGTAATGGTAGTGGTATTAGTATTTATCACTTTTTTTTTTATTATTATTCACTGATTTTATCGTTACATTTTTAACCATTATAATAATCACAATTACAATAATGATCATTCTTATAATTAACATTATTATCACTATTAATATCTCATTGTTATTATTATCAGTATCATTATTATCATTATCATCATAATCATTATTACTGGAGATGGATTTGCGGCTCGCCTGCCTGAAGCACACGCCGCACCTCCCTCATTCCGAGTCCGGATAGTGAGGTCTAGGATTCAGGAGGAAATGACCTCAAAGTTGTTTCTTAGAAGCTCTCAGATTAAAGTTGAAATTAAAATCCCTTTATATTTGATGGTATGTAGGAGTTGAGTGTTGTGACCAGTGTAAGTTGGTTTTCTGTAAACTGAGGAGACAAAAGAATTCTCATC